AGGCCTCCAGAGAAACCAAACCTGCTGACACCTTGATCTTGGACTTCCAGCCTCCAGAACTGTGAGAAAATGAATTTCTGTGGTTTAAGCCTCCCAGTCTCTGGTATGTTGTTCTGACAGCCCTAGCAAACTAACATAATAACTATATGTTTTCATTTCTTCTCATTTGTTAAGAAATGTGCTTATATTCAGATAAATGCATAAAATATAAGTTCAGGTTAGAGAAAAGTGATGCCACTGTTTCAAGAATGAGAACATGTGAAGCCACATAGAGGCTTGCCTCTGTGCATTCCTTCCCCTCCACTCTCCCTCATCCCTACCCATTCTTCAGACATTTTGGATACTACAATGTTACAGTTGCATATTGCAAATATCTTTTCCTATTCTAAGTCTACCTTTTCACTGTCTTTATGGCATCTTTTAATAACCTCAAGTTTCTCACTTTAATACAGTCCAATTTATCAATCTTTTCCTCTAGTGCTTTTTATTTCCTGTTCAAGAAATCTTTCCCAACCTGGAGGTAATGAAGACATTGTCCTACATTAACTTCTATAGCCTTTGAAAACTTTATAGTTTTACCTTTCACATTTAGGTCAGTAATCCACCTAACGTGATGTTTACACTTTTGAGCAGTGAAACATAGGGGTCTCAATTTATCTTTACTATGTGGAAACCTAGTTGTTTCAGGTCAGATTATTTAAAATGCTGCCCTTCCTTCAGAGATGACAGGTCAAGCATCCATACATGTATGAGTCTAATGTGGGCTCTTTCTTCTGTTCTCTTGGTTTGTTTATCCCTATACAAATGGCACATATCTTAGTTACTATGGCTTTGTAATAACACTCCATACCTAGCAAACTAAATCATCCCATCTTGTTCTTTTTCAAGAATGTCTTGGTTATTCTAAATAAATTATATTTCCATGGATTTTTTTAAATTGAATTTTTAAGTTCTAACACACAATCAGACATGCACACAGAAACAACAATATCTCCATGAAAATTCACAATTTCCCCCTAGAGATCTTATACTTTTTCTGTCAGGAATATTTCAGGAACTTCCTGTTTCTTGATTCTATTATAAATGGTCTTGCTATTAATTTCATTTTCTGAAGAAGTGCCCGTTAGCACACAGAAATAGAATTTTTTAAAATACTGATTTGTAGTCACATTTCTTAAACATTCTAAAAAATCCAAGAAGATTTAAGGATAAATCATTTACATAATCATATCATCTAAGAGTAATGAGAGTTTTATTTATTTCAGAAGTTACACTTTTTTTATTTCTCTTTTCTCACTTCCTGGCTAGAATTCTTAGCAATTTGTTTATTAACAATGGTGATAGGGGGCTTAGTGGGATCAATGTCTTCATTTATTATAAGGTTTCGGTGTTTCATTTGTCACTAAAAGTATAGACATATATTGAAACACAGAATTGGCAATTGTTTGAACAGGCTATTCTTAAATTGTTTTACCCCTACAAGTATAAAATAAGTATATATCTGACCGTTATTCCTTCCAAGCCAAAAAAAAGGGGGGGGGGGAGTGAAATGTCACCAAGGGACAATCTCACTAGCATTTCGGGATACATTAACAAAAAGCCAAATTAACTTCATACTAGCATTAAATATAACTTTAATTTCATATTCACCTTAAATCCACACTATTCTTGGCTATTCTTGTCTACTCTTATCAAAAATCCAAAATGTTAAATACATATTTCAGCAATCATAGCCACTCTAAAGTGACCACGATGAATAAATGACCTTAGATACCAAAAAAGAAAAAAAACCCCAAAGGATATTGAGTAAAGCCTAAAATATTTTTACAAATAGCAATAATAACAGAAGTATTCATTATACATTAATATTGATTGTATAAAATATTAAAATAAATTATAAAGGGATTTATCAAGATGCAAGCTATCTGCAACCAGGTCTAGCTATTTCTATTCTTTATTAGCCAAAAACTAAGCAAATAATTCTGTGACATGGACAGATATCTGACATCAAATCCCTAGCAACACTATTAGATATGAGCTCATTGGAATAACAATAATGTATCTTGCTAGCTGAAAAGCTGGCTGGTCTGCTAAATAAACAGTATTTATTTTCCTCTTTTTAATATTGGCAGCATGTCCTTTATTGAAATTCTCTCCCTTCCTTCCTCCTTCTGTCACTCTCCCCATAACATTAAATGCAGTTAATATATTAGTTTTTGGACCTTACATAAAAGTAGGTATAAGATAATCAATTAGAAATTATCTGAATCTATTTCATCTAAAAAAAATTGAAAAGACGTAACTTTAGAACTAAAGTGGGATGCCATAAATGGTTAGCTGCATAATCTCTACATTAACAGCCACAATTAATTCTTTTTAAAAATCTCATTTTCTCATGTGGAAAGATATGTGACTGCCAGCAGGTACATATTTTAACAATATTTTTAACCTACTAAAATGCCTTTATAAGATGTTTATCTTGTAAAGTTTACCTTTGTATTAGATAAAGAAGTAAAGATTGGTCACCTCAATAAAAGATGAAAGCAGCAAAGTATAAATTTGGCAATCAGGAGCTTTCTCTGAAGCGCAGATTTTGTGCTGCTTGAGCATTTTCTAACCGTTTTTAAAAGAGCATTGCTACAATAATATAGGTAAAGAAGTTGCCCAGGGGAAAATGCAAAAAGTGGAATAGCAACTTGGTACAATTGAAAGAACAGTAACTTAGAGAAAAAAAGAAATGGGCCTAAATAACACCTCTGCCTAGTGAAAATTCTCTGATTAAACAAATTATTTGACCTCTCTGAATCTCAATCACTCACATGTACAATAGGAATATACTACTTATCCTCAGGAATATTTTAAGTAAGTTGGCATTTTTCACTCATCAAAGGCTTACAAAGCCAGAATGATACAAGGTAAAAATTCTGAAATGTATGACTAGTGAAATAGTTACAGAACAACACATTAATTAATGAATTTTAGAAAGTATATTATTTAAGTATAGTGATACCTTCCTTCACATTTAATTAAAAAGCTATAAATTTCTGCCCTAGCCGGTGTGGCCCAGTGGTGAAGCACTGGCCCTGTGCACCGAAGGGTCAAGAGTTCAATTCCCAGTAAGGGCACATACCTGGGTTGTG